AAGGAGGCTTTGGAAAAAAAGGGAAAAAGTGTGTAGCAAGGAGGCTATGTTGAAACCCGCGAGGGTAAACATGGAATAAAGTGTATCAGTTATTATTATTATTATTATTATTATTATTATTATTATTATTATTAAAGGTGCAATTAGTTAATGGAAAACTTAAATGAAAGAATATAAATTTTAGAAATATATATATTCATTTTTCTTAATTAATTATCATAGAAATTTTGAATTTATTTTCAATTTGTTTGAAAGATTGAAAACTTATTAAAATAATCATTTTTAAAAACTATTTTTCTTACAACAAACCTAATTTAATTTCTCTTCTTCTTTTCTTTTAAATTTTCTTTATAAAAAGCGTTTAACTTTGTTTAGATTTGAAAAAGAATAAAAGAGATAAAGAAATTTGATAAAATATTCAATGACAATGATTAATTATTTCAATATTAAAGCTTGAATTTCTGATCGATCGTTTAAATTAAGACGTGTATATATACATCATAGTAATGCAATACCTTTCGCAATGATCAGTTTCAACTTTCATGTACAGTGCTGATCGTAAGTCACTCGTGAAATCGTTAATTAACGAATCGATCGTTTGATAGTATATAATACAAATACATTGTGTATATTATATATACACAATGTGTATTATCATTTAACAATTGGCCATCCTTTATTTTCATTCTCATTTTATTATATATTTTTTGTTTAATATCAAAATCAATTTAAATGAAATAATATTATTAATTATATTATTGAAATAATATAATATATTTATATATATTACATTTATTTTATATTATTATATTTATTATTATATATAAGTATAATAATTTTAAGTTATTTTATCGATCGATCATCTAAGATTGTAATATTTTTATTTATTATTAGTTTTTGTTTACTATACCCATTACTACCACAAAATTTCTTGTTTGTCGTACCCATCACTACCACAAAATTTCTTGTTTGTTATACCCATCACTACCACAAAATTTTTTGTTTGTCGTACCCATCACTACAATAAAATTTTAAATTAATTTAAAATAAAATTATTATTTAAAATTTTAATTTATTATTATATTTATATATATATTATATATATTTTTATTTATATTATATATATAAATGTGTAAGGAATATGAAGTATATATATATGTTATAGTTTTATATAGTCTATATAGTTACTAAATGTGGTATATTGTTTAATGTTGTTTATATTGTTTTATATTGTTTTATATTGTTAATACTAATAGCTAATATTATATTAGGGCATAATTAGAATTAAGTATATTGTCAAGGGGAACGAACATGTAGGGGGGGCCTTCGGGGTAAACACCCTAAAAGGGTATACCTGAAATAAACTTCTTATCTATCTATATATAAATGAAATAATAATAATTGATTTATAAAAGTTGTCTAAAAATTTATAAAAATAAAAAAACAATCCTATCAAAAATTGTATAATATTAATAATAATAATAATAATAATAATAATAATAATAATAATAATAATAATATGCGTTATTATAAAATTATATAAGATGGGATAAAAATAGTCTTTTAGACGTGTGATAATTATACTTCACTGGTTATACTTTTAGCTTATTGGACAATTAGCGACATTGACCGTCGTCATAGTCATACCATAATCATCGTTGTAGTAGTCGTAGTCCTGGGCACGACTCTTATATTCATTAGTCGATTAGACTCATTCGTTTATTCGACTACAATTACGTTAATGCACTCGTGCACGAATACTACACGTTCTTCAACATGAATGTATTTTCTTCTTTTTTTTTTTTTTTTTTCTAAAACAATCAAATTATTACTTATAAAAAAAAAAAATAAAAAAAACTATTTATACGAAAACAACAGTGTTTTCGATGTTTTTAAAATGAATTTATTTTCTAGTTTTATGGGATTGATTAATTGTATAAATGTTTAAGTTAAATCATTAATTAATTACTACGTAATTATTCTAAGGAATATTTCTATAAATTGAATGAAACGTTTCTTCTCGTATTCACGTCGTTATTATTAATAATATTCAACTCGATCGAATTCTATTTAAGACACCTTGTACATTTAATTAAATACCACCGTGTTCGAAAGGTATCCCGGAGTCGCAAGGTGCAAAAGGACTCTATCGAATTAAACACGACGTTTATAACATTTAACAGCTAAAATGAGAAATTAAAATCGAAGATAGGAAAATTTCACTCTTCTTTCCCTCCCTATCTCTTTCTCAATTTTCTTTTTTTTTTCTTTTTTTTCCTTTTTTTTCTATTTCTTTTACGAAGTACTCCTTCTCTATTTTTTTTTTATTTGAAAAAGAAAAAAACAGAGAAAAGGGTAAAAAAAAGAATTTTTAATTAAACATTTTAATCGATAAAAAGATTGACTTTCTTTTAAAATATCGATTTTATTAATATTTCTCAAGTCTTTTTTTTTTTTCTTTATCGTCATATTTTTTAATAACAATTAAATTGTTCTCAGGAAGGAAAGTTCATAAAAGTTCGAACTTTTATTATAAATTGATATAATTTTTTTTTTTTTTTTATTTTTTGTATACTCGTTCGAGTATAACTTTGTGTTTGTTATTAATAATTAATATATAATATATAAATAATAAATAAATAATAAATATGAACCAATCAAAATGTAGAGGGCAGAGAGAGAGAGAGAGAGAGAAAATAAAAAGTAAAAACATGTGTGTTCATAAAATAAATATGAACAAATCAAAATGTGGGGAAAGTGAAAAGAAAAAAGTAAAAACTTATGTAATAATTCTCATCGAAATTGTTTTAATCGAGTTAAAGTTTGTTAATTTGTTTATTATTACTGTTTAAACAATCATGTTTGACTAACAAAATATTTGTTCAAATTGAATTTTACAGAAAATCCTGGTACAACGACCAACGATAACGGAGTCGAACAACTTCAATTACTTCGTGACAAATATGAAGGAAAATTAACCACTTCCCTTTACACAGGGACACTTTTCGTTGCTGCAGTTGCTTCGATTTTAGCCCTTGGTGCTATTTGTTTATCCAATTATCAGGTAAATCTCTTTTCGAGAGATATACTTTTTTCTTTGTTCATTACAACAACTATAATTAACAAAATAAGGTGCTCGTAGATTTAAAAATTAATACTAAGATTAACGCACATATATATATATATATATATATATTATATAGATATGATTAAATGTAAACCCTTTCCCACCCATTTTCCCGAAAAACAAATTCTTTCGAAGGATAGGGATCTTTTCTAAGTTCCTTTCTTCCCTTTACTTCCACCTATCCGAATATTGCAATATTATATTTTTTATTTTTATTTATGTAGAATGTATTGTATTATATTTTTTATTTATTGGTATAGAATATATTATATTATATTTTTTTTTATTTATTTATATAGGGTATATTATATTATATTTTTTTATTTATTTATATAGGGTATATTATATTATATTTTTTATTTATTTATTTATATAGGATATATTATATTATGTTTATTATTTATTTGTATAGAATATATTATATTATATTTTTTATTTTTATTTATATAGGGTATATTATATTATATTTTTTATTTATTTATTTATATAGGATATATTATATTATGTTTATTATTTATTTTTATAAAATATATTATATTATATTTTTTTATTTTTTATATAGGATATATTATATTATATTTATTATTTATTTATATAGGGTATATTAACTATAAGTAACTAAGTAGTAGTAGTAGTTTATTTTTCAGGTATACCCCTTTAGGGTGTTTACCCCGAAGGCCCCCCCTACATGTTTATAGGGTATATTATATTATATTTTTTATTTATTTGTATAGGATATACTATATTATATTTCTTATTTATTTATTTATATAGAACGTATTATATTTTATTATATGTTCTATTTATATATATAATATATTATACTATTAGGATCTCTAGCACTTGAATACGCTATCTGGTGGTTAAATTCAAAATTAGAGTAGATAAGTCGAATTTTGCTACGCCACACGCCCCTGCCAGAAATCCCAATATTTTTTTGATTTTTTTGTTTAAATACCATCGTAAATAAGATTTAAGATATAATTATTGATGATATATTAAATGATACAAATGTTTGTTTTTTTTTTGTTGAATGAAATTAATTGATCAATTGTTTTTGCAATAGTAGTTACTATTACTAATAAGAGATTGTCATCTTTGAACAAATGAAAATTGTTACAAAAGATGTCCCGAAACAACCTTAGGCGTTTTATCACGACTCCTAGATTCTAACAAACTAAATTCTCGTAACCTGTAATTAATCTTTGTCGAAACTAACGAACACCTCGGGGGCACCGAATATTTAGGATGGCACAACTTGTTAACACGTTGTTAAATAACAAACACGAAGACCATGTATGAGAACGATCGATGCATCATACGTCACTATTAGAAAATAAAAACTTAACCAAACGTTCAAATGAATTTTTAGACCAATTTTTCTATTTTTTTTATTTTTCTTTTTTTAACCGTACGTCCTCCGTTTTAGTATTTTTCTTTTTTTTCTTTTTTTTTTTTTTAATTTAAACTCGCGAGTACTACGATTGCGAACGGGGTGAACAAAAAAAGAGACTAGTTGTTTACTGAAGCTACAAACAAACAAAAAAAAGAAATGAAATAAATAAATAAATTGAAATAAAACTCTCAACACTTATATTGGTGGAAAATAAAAAAAAAAAAGAAGAAAATTGTTGTTGTTGGCTATCAAACGAGAAGAAGAAGAAAAAAAAATGGTAGAAAGTATATAAAACAATTCAAATCACGGATTGATTTTATTTTCAATCAAACTAATAGAATTATTATATTCAATATAATATTTGTAAAAGAAAAAACATGTATCACGTATATACATATGCATATATGTATATATATATTAAATTGAAATGTGTTAAAAATATTTTTTTATTAAATAAAAAGATTATTTCATTTTGTTTAATTTTTAATTAGAAATAATATTTACCAACACGTACAAACATTGAAACTAATTGTAAAATAATAATAAGCTTAAACGCGATACAGAAAGAGAGAGAGAGAGAGAGAGAGAGAGAAACAATAAAAAATTAAAATATAAAAGAAAGAATAAATGAAATTTTTAAACGAATAAAGTATCACGGTTGCATCCGTAGTAAAAACAAAAAAAAAAGGTTCCCTTTTCCTTTTTATTTATTCCTTTTTATAATTTTTTTTTGTTTTAATTTTAATTTTAATTTTAATTTTATTTAAAAAAGTCTCTTTCAACACGTGACAACCTGTCATCCTACCAAAGTTATTATCCAGCAAATCTCTCTCTCTTTCTCTCTCTGTCTACACACACACACACTTTTTTATAAAACAATACACCACTTTAGTGTGTCTTTCAAATATTTTACCCATTATATTTTTTATATAGAACAACAACAACAACAACAAAAACACGTACTTGCAACTTTATTGATATAAAAATAGAAAGAAAAAAAAATTACTTTTTAAATGCAATCGATTATTATAATTGTAATGACAAATTTACAAATATAACTRTAATCCTTTATTTGTGGTTTTTGTTTGTGTTTTTTCTTTTTTTTAAATAACAAAAAAATTGCAAATCTTTTATTATAAATATTAAATAATATATAAATAATAAATAACATATAAATATAATATAAATATTATATTATATTTATATTTATATATAATATAATATTTAATAATAATTAAATAATATTAAATATAATATAATATTATTTATAAATATTAAATAACATATAAGATATAATCATTAATTTATTTATTTATAATAAGAACGACTTTTTAATAAAAACTTTTTTTTTTTTTTTAATTTTTTTTTTATTAAAAAACGAGAATCAAAAACGTCTTTGAAAATTCTTTATCATTTTGATTTTTTCATAATTCACCTAACACACGTTTGAAAACAATAACTATTTCAATTTATAGCCCAGTAATTTTGCTTTCACGCATTGTGATCCTTTTATCATGAACAAAATCGGTCCACCATTGTCATGGGATTTATTACTTTTTTTTTTTTAAATCATGTACCGGAAGCTCTATCACGTACGTTAATTCTTTTACACGTACGGTTCCATTTTTTATTTCATTTTTATTTTTTTATTTTACACTCTTTTTCTTTTGTTTTTTCTTTTTATTTTGTAATCCTAAAATCAGCTGATCAAAATTATTGTTCATATATAATACCAGAATATATAACTGATATTTATTTAAAAATATTTATTCAATATATATATATATATATATATATATAATATAAAATAAAATTATAATATAAAGTTATAAAATAAAAATAATATATATATATTATTAAAATACAATATATAAAATAAAATATTTTAATATTATATATTAACACGTAAAAAATTTTATATTATATATAAAAATTATATATAATATAATTTTTATAAATTATATTAAAATTTATATATAATTATATAAATTTTATAATTTAAAAATACATTTTTTATTTTTTATATAAAAAATTTTATATATATATATATATATATATATAAATTTTAATATTATAAAATATAAATATAAATAAATATAAATTTTAATATTATATATTAATATATAATATTAATTGTATTTATTTATTGTTGTATTTAATTTTATTTATTATTTTATTTTTAATTGTATTATTTAATGTAATATTTAATTATATTATATTTTGAATATGAAATAATAATAATAATAATAATAATAATGAAATATATATTTGCAAATGTTTAGGATTTCTCTCACATAGTAATACCGGTATCAACGTTATCAGTGATGTTAGTATCATCGTTGACTCTATTGGTGATCTCCCAATTACCTTCTACGTTAACATCAGCAAGAACTAGATTTCTCGTGGGACAACTATCATCTGTTATACTTGGTTTTGGTATCCTGATACTTGGCGGTGCTATTCCAATGTTTGCTTGTATCCTTTCGATTACGGCAGCCCTACCAAGGATTAAAAAAAGACTCAGACCAACCATTGGACCTTTTATCCTTGCCATCATGCACGTTGGACAAAGATTTATCTTTGAGAAAGAATTAATTGATCATAAAATCAGTCAAGTAAGTTTTTTTTTTTTTTTCTGTAATTTATTTAATTTTTTATTATATTTATTATTTAATATTTAATAATAATATAATAATATTAATAAAAGAAAAAAAAATATATATATATATATATAATTGAAAGATAATACTTTATAAAATATTAAAATATTATCTTTTATCTTACCAAGATTTTTTTTAAATTAATTAATATAATAATATATTAATTATTAATATATTATATTACTTCATATTAAATTATATTACTATAATAATATAATAAGTAAATATAGTATTATAATTATCATTATAATAGTAAAAATAATTTATTATTTATTAATATATATTATATTATAAATAATATATTATATATTATTTATTATTATTAATATTTTAATAATTTGTTTACGAAAAAAAAAATTAATATTATCTATGACATTTAATTTTTGTTTAAAACATATCATATAATACTCAATACATAATTGTGTAACACCATCATATGCAGAAAGAAAGAGAGAAATAAATGTGAAGATAAATCGATATTTTATCCTATTACAAATGTAACTAGAATATACATGTATATATGGGAAGATGATTTGTTATGTATTTGTCCAAGATAAAAGGAAACACTTTTCATATTAAACTTCACAATTTTTCTCTATAGTTCTATCTTTTAAAATAAAGTAGTAACTATACTCGACTATGTCAATAAAATTCTACAAAATCAATCTTGAATCGATACAAACTACAAAGATAGTAAATAGGATAGACGTTTCAATAATGCATCCATATATTTATAGAAATTCTAGTTATTTTATCTGAAAGAAAACTTCAATTCAAATCTCTCTATAACTTTTGAGATAATCAATCATTCAGTATCTTTAATTTATATATTTTTATAGTATTCATGTACACAAAATATAAACGTATATAGTAAACAAAAGTATTCATATAAATTTTCTATTTTAATTGAAAACATATTTTAAAATTGAGTGTATTTTATCGAAAGATAAATTTGTCGTGAATTATTAGAAATGAAATGTGATTATAATTTTGAAACTTTTTATATTTTTAAGTTTCACATATTACACATATTATAAAACACACACACGCACACATTTGTATTTTTTTGTTATTGAATACAAAAGTTCAATCTTAACTGGTAAATATGATTTTGATTTGTATAAATAATAAACAGTTTGTGAAATGAAGAGAGAGAGAGAGAGATAGATCAGAAAGTTATTAAAAGAAACATCGTTGTACTTCGTACAGTTGCAAAGATTAACATTCGTCAGATGTTTATACATCATGGTTATAATCCAGATAGAAAGAGAAAAAGAGATAGAGAGAGAGAGTACGTAAACTTAATTATGTAAACATTGTTTCAATCGAATATATGTAACAACAGTTATGATAATGATGATGATGATGATAGTAGCAATAGTGGTAATAGTAATAGTAGTAATAGTAATGATGATAGTGAATATTTAGAATATAGTGGGGATAGGAATAATGTATAGAACTAACAGATGAGTGAATATCTGGTTAATTTTATGCAATACTCGTAATCTGGTAAAATGATACGTAAATGTAATTACTATAACATTTGTATTATAATACGTATTTAATGATACAAATATGAAACTGTATATTTATTTCTTATAAAATCATATCAGCGAAGATTAAACATTATTAATTATCTTAATGAGTGTTATCCTTTTAACATAGTATTAAATTGTTTGTTGCTATGATATAAATCAATTGAATATAATTATTATTTGATAGATAGTACAAAAAAAAAGTAGTTATTGTTTTATCTGTTAAATATTTTAATTAATTACATATTAAAATTAAAATTATATATAAATTATATATATATATACGTATGTATATTATTATCACATTTGTTCTCAAATATGTTATTATATTTATAAATAATAAATGAAAAATGATTTTCTGTTTGAACAGATAATAAGTGAAGGTATATTGATGCTTACTGCAATCCTGGCAGGACTATACTACAGGTTTCTAACAGCAACAGCAAATAAAAGGACCTTTGCTGGTACAAGAACGGTGATCGAATCTCGGATAAAATTAGAATGTGAAAGAGAACAGCAGGAACAATTATTGCTAAGCGTTATTCCGGCCTACATAGCTGCCGAGGTAAAATAACAAATGTTCCTTACGAATATTCTCCAAATAGCTAAAAGAAAATTAAACCATACTACCAAAAAGTTTACATACGTTTTAGTTCTTCAATGTATGTTTATAAACAATTATTAGAAGAAATTTATTTTTATCACAATTATTAATATTCATTATATTCATAATTATTATATTAATATTAATATTAATTAATTATAATATTTCTATATATTAATTTTATATTATATTTAATATATTATTATATTATTAATTATATATACTATATTATATTATATTATATATATATATAAAATATAATATAATATTATATATTTTATATAAT